TTGGCTGTACCAGCCACAGTGTGGTCGCTCTGGTCACTGACCTGGTCACTGACCACGGCAGTTGCTGTCCCCTGTGCTGGCACTGCTGGGGCACCTCCAGTCCCAAAGGCAGTTTGGGGCCTGTCACTTTCAAAAGGACATTGTGGTGGTGGAGCATGTCTAGAGAAGGGTAATGGAGCTGGGGAAGGGACTGGAACATTAGGCCTGTGAGGAGCAGCTGAACTCAGGTACTGAGTGTTTTACTCAGGTGAAAGCAGGTACTGGAGTGTTCAGTCCTGAGATGAGAAGGTTCAGGAGAGCCTTTAATGTTCTATAACTACCTGAAAGGAGGTTGTGGCAAGGTAGGGGTCGGCCTCTTCTTCCAGTCAGTCAGTAACAGGACAGGGGAAAATGGCCTCAAGTTGCACCGCAGGAGATTCAGGTTGGATATTAGGAAGAATTTCTTCACCAGAGGAGTGATTAATCATTGGAATGGACTCCCTAGGAAAGCGGTGGAGTCTCCATCCCTGGAAGTGTTCAAAGAATGAGTAGATGTGGCACTTTGTGATACGGTTTAGTGTTATTTGGTGGTATTAAGTTAAAGGTTGAACTTGATGATTTTTGGTTGTCTTTTCCAACCTAAATGGTTTTATGATTCTTTGCTTTTTGTGCTGCAGTGCTTTCTTAGAGACTGCATGAAATGTGACCAAAGTATGCTGTTGCACCATAAATGTTATCTCCCAGGAAAAGACTATTAATTTTTAAATTAATTATTAAAAGGGAATTAATCAGTGCAGATGTATTACATGGCACACTGAAAGTAAGCGTGACATGACCAAACATAGAGGGAATTACCAAGATAGTTAATGAACCAGGTTAGCCTGTCTCTGCTGGGGGTTTCATTTGGTCTTTTGATTACTCTCTGCAAGCGTTAAAAGGTAAAAGGCAGGTAAAGGAAGAAACCATAGACTGGATGCAAAATTTCAACAAAGACCATATCCAGCCTGCAGAAATCAGTTTGACTGCTCTGGCTTGAGAGTCTGTGTTTTTAAAATAAAATTACATGGCTCTCTCAGATCTCCTAGGGTCACTTTTCAAACCTTGCATCAGTGTCTTATATTAGTAAAATACTACTGCTATGTCATTAAATTGTGTTACTGGTACTTTTTTACAAAAGCAACTGTAACAATAACATTCTTTCCTGAAGGAAAAGTCTTTGAAACTAAAAGTTGAAGTATTGTGCATCGTTTACATGACTATTGCTGCTTTGAGATCTTCCTGCATTTAGTCTGCTAAACTATATTTAGTTTTTAAATACACAAAAAAATTATGTCTGTAATTTTAGATCTATTGTTGCACAGGATTTCTGGCTATTACAGACCAGTTGCATCAAGTAAATGTTGATTTGCTGGGCTGGTGGCTTTGCGAACGTCAGTTACCTTCTGGAGGTCTCAACGGACGACCAGAGAAGGTATTGTGCAGCTTCTTTTCTTTGTTCAAACCTCAATAGAGATTGTTTTTTTCTGAAGCTGAACTTCTGCAAAATGTCACAATTTGTACAAAACATTTAGTTAGCTTTTCAAAGAAGTCAGGCCTTCATTCTGATTCTTCCTTCTGTTACTAACACCTGTCCTGCAGTCCTTAGCTATGATTTGTTTGAGTCCTCAATGTAAGAAAGTACACATACTAAAGGATGTTTTGGTCACGACTTGAACCGTTGTTCCGTTAAACTGGGTCTTTGACTTTGGGAATGATCTTTTCCGTAGGATTTGTATAAAAATTACTGTTTTACTGGATGTAAATCCTGAGTGTCATAGTGTTCCACATCACACTAGAAATTTGTGTAACCTAGAAAAATCTCTGGCAAATAGATAGTCAGCAGATTCCCCTGCTTCTGCCCTTTTCCCCAAAATACAAATAGTCGATATGAACTTCTTTGTATTTCCTCTTGAAAAGCGTGCCATGTGCCTTTTCTCACAGAAGGTGAAATCTTTAAAACTCACATTCCTGTGGTCTTGTTTCTCAAAGAAGGGAAGAAGTTTGAGAAAGATATTTTCCCTTCCTTAAGACAGAAGCCCACCAAAAAGAGATTCTGTCAAGAAAGTCTTTTACTCCAAAGACACTCCTAAGTGTTTTGTCTCTGCAAGGGTATTATGATAGCGCACCTGATAATGTGCAGAATTATCAGTAAAATTTGCAACGTTATGTTTAAAACCAAATCAAATATTAATCTGCTTCTCTGCTTGCCAGTTACCTGATGTATGTTATTCGTGGTGGGTGCTAGCTTCTTTGAAGATGATTGGTAGGATACAGTGGATTGACAGAGAGAAACTGCGCTGCTTTATTTTGGCTTGCCAGGATGAGGAGACTGGAGGATTTGCTGATAGACCGGGAGATATGGTACGTAATATCTTTTAATTTTTATTTATTTAATTTGGTTTTAATTAAAAGATGCATGAAAATTTCAACTGGAAATTTCAACTTTTGTTTGAGTGTAACTCAGCTCACGGTCCAGGTGAGTCTTGCAGAGGCTGCAATATACTTCCAAGGAAGAATAGAGTAGAATCGCCATTGAAGGCATGCTTGGGGAGCACGTACTTTATGATGCGTTTGTATTCCCCAATGAAGTCAGTTGCCATTCCTTACAAAATCTGGTTTGGTTCCCATGACACATGCAACACAAACCATTTCTCACAAGACCGTTTAGAAGATTTGTGTAAAAACATTGTTTGGTGACAGGTTTTCTGGTGTGGGTTTTTTGGGTTTATTATTTTGTTTCATGAAATGATCTGTAAGCTAAAGTCTGGTGTAGGTTAAGTAGTCTTCAACTCTCTTGGTGGTTTTGTCTGATCTAAATAAATCATGAGCTTTTATAAAAAAATCCCTATACACTAACTTTCATTCTTTGCTAGCCCACCTACTTAATAAATCTTGTAGCTGGCATTTGTCTAGTTGAGGGAGGAAGAAGCTTTTTTGATAATACTGTCAAGAGGCTGGTGGTACGTATTCTTTGCTTGTTGAGAGAGCAGTTACGATTTAGCCAGTCTGTTCTCTCTGGTTTCAGCTGGAAGTGATCGATACCAGTCCCAGTGAAATGGCAAGTAAAGTTTAAATAAAGTTTAAATAAAGTAAAAAGCAAATAAAGCACTTTCAAGAGTGCTGGACAGATAAAATAAGAAGTATTACGAGACTTCATTGCAGCTCCCGTCGAACACTTGGCTTATTTGTTAATGGTCTGGAGTGGTATTAGCTGTTTTTATTGCAGACATAACCAGATCTGCTCCCTTCTCCACAAATGCATTAAAAAATAAAGCAACTTTGTTTTTGCAAGCAGGTGCTTTATTCCCAGTCGGGGGAGAAATCTGCTAACTCCAGTCTGTCATTTGGAAAGTGGTTTTGTGTTCTTAAAATAGGCAGAGTTTTGTATTTCTAAGGAGCTTACAGGAAGACCTTTTCTGTTTCCAGAATTCTCCAAGTGAAGCCCAGAACTTGAAGTCTAAATGATTTTCTGGCTTTGAGTACTGAAATATTTGTGTCTTCTTGGAAGAGCAGCTCTGCAGAGCCTTTTCTCTAAATCTAAGGAGAGCACCTTTGGGAGAATTTTTCTGTTCTGTTAGAAGTAATTTCATATTATTTTTACCTGTCTTCGATTGCTGATGTGTAGAAATTTCTACTCCTGTAGAAATGTTGCCAGAAATGTAGCCCAGGTTTTTACTTTGTTCCTGCAGAAACTCATTCCTAATAGACCTTGTATATGGGCTGTTTTTTTCATTTGTTTTTCATTTTGTGGGGTGGAGAGGGAGTGGTGATTGTGTGGTTTCGGGAGTAGAGGTTTGGGGGGGGGTTTGTTTTTATTTATGGTTCTGGGAGGTTTTCTAACAAAATAGGTTGCTACTTTCCTCTCAAGGTTTTGCAGCACAGCTCTGTATTTGGAGACCATTAAAGAGCATTATGATGTTTCTGAGGAACAAGTAGGGAATTTATGGAAGTGGTATATGTGGGTGATACAGTTTACTTTTAAAATGCTACTTATCTTTGTTTCTACCACCTTGTGATATTGCACACTAATAGACCAACGTGAGTGCATTCCATCTAACTCAGAGTTGAAAATTGTCTTAGCAGCATATAACTGACAAGCTATTTCTGACAAGCATTCCTGACTAAATCGTGGTATTCTAAATGCCTGCCCCAGAAATTGTCTTGCTTGTCAACATGTTACCACAAATTAAAGTTTATTCAGTTGTATTGTCCTCCCCGGCCACGGAGATTTTCAGTTTCTTGCTGGCAAACAAAAATTTCATTCTATACAAGTGAAAAACCAATTGACTTTTGTAAATGGACACAAGCTTCCTTTTTTTTTCCCAGGTGGATCCATTTCACACGTTATTTGGTATTGCTGGACTGTCTTTATTAGGAGAAGAACAAATTAAGGCCGTTAATCCTGTCTTTTGTATGCCAGAAGACGTCCTTCGAAGAATAAATGTGCAGCCTGAGCTTGTAAGCTAAGCCTTGTAGAGACAAAAGGTTTATATGACTAATTGCTTTGTTTTACTTAACTCATCCGTGAAACTGTCAGCATATTCTTTTGGATGTGTTTATGTTCTGGAACCGAAGCAATAGCTTTTCTGTGGACTTTGTCACTTTATAAATTGTATCAGAACAGGCTGGTTCTCATAATCTGAGTGTAACATGTTCTTTGGTTGTATTCTAAGATGTATAGAAACATTTCAATTCTGTATCTAAATATATGGGCCTTGGCTTTTTTTTTTTTTAATATAATATTCAAATCAAAGCTTGACTATGTGAATGCTTAGCTTTTCTATCCCTGTAATATCAACCATGCTAGTACTGGTCTTCATACAGGCCTCTTTCGATGGTGGATTGTGCAAAGCACTTGAAAAAAGACTCAAACCAAAACAACTACAACAAACCCAAACAAACAAACAAAAAACACAGTAAGATCCTACTTAAGCCATGCACTTAATACCACACACTTACATATTTAATTTTTCCTGTTCATGTTTGGCATCAGTTTTCTACACTGAGAAACAGCTGCTTCTTCTCACAGTAATTGATACCAGTGAAGCCATGATTATGGTCCTTTTAAATATATATGTCTTCATTTATTGATGAGTCCCTTAGACAAAATTCCACTAATGCTTGAAATACAGCATACCTTGAGTACGTACAGTGAATCTTGCTAGCATAAAACATTCTAGAGAAGGTCTCCATTGCACAGTGACTTGTAATTGAACATAGAGTTGATTCTGAATTTGTTGCTGGGCTGAAATCCTGCTTTTGTAGTTTTCAAGACACTAATTGTCAGTACTTGATTATGATTATGGTGTAATTGAAAATAAAACTAGCTGTGGAAAATGCTTGTTCTCTGAAGGGTGAAATCTTCTTTGTCTTCATAGAAGTGCTAAAATTGCCACTTAATTCCACACATCTTAGCTGAGACTGAATGGTATTCCACTTGTAATATACAGTAAAAGGTAATTATGAAAGGGAAGAAGTCTTTGATAATCTCTGTACTTACGCTTAAGTAAGGCCTAAAGTTGTTCTACCTGAACTTCACTCAGCAGAGATAGCCACCTAATATTTGGCCTGCACAGATGTGTAGTCATTTGACATATAAACCCAAACTCACTGAATAGAAAATACTGGTTTAGGCTACAATATTGGGAATTAATTTGATAATAGTAAAGACTGCTCTAACCATGACCAGCTTTTGCACCAACTTCAGTCACAGTAACAAAGTGCCTTTTAGCACTTCAGAAGTAAAGGCTTTCTCTCGAGTACAGCAGAACAGCCTGAGGTTCGGTTTGGCTGGAGAGAGTGCCTTAGTCATGGCGGTCAAGCGAATGGTTGAGCTTTTTCTCCTCTTAAGGGTGTGTTCTGCAGGAAAAGAATGCCTCAATCTATAAAAGAATGCCAAAGCTATACATTTCCTAACACCTCAAAGGATCAAGAACCAGCCTTAAAATGGTCTATTCCTTCTCCCAAGTTTCATATCCCCCTTCACACCACCACTACCATCCTGAAAAGCATAGTCTCTTCCTGCTTCTAGCAACTCTGAAATCCTACATCACTGCTGTACTACAACTACAGACCTTGAATCAACTTCCTCCTACCAAAATGTTGACTCTTAAATTATCAGAAGTCTGACAGATCTCAAATCGGACAGGCTACGCTCTAAAGCGTAGCCTTGCCAGCATCTCCCAGTTCCAAATTCCAGGTATCAAGGAAAGCACCTTTCATTGTCCCAAGACACGTACCCAAATTCCATTTGCTGCATCTCATGCAAAATTTTCAAAGACAAAAATCAAACCCACCAGATTGCTAAGAATACAATTAGTAAGATTATCACACTCTCAATGATAGATGTAATCCATGAACTCATATTCCACCCTAACCCTTTGAAGATTTTGCCTAACCAATTTATAGTCAAACCCTTTTGCTCTCCCTGTCCTCCATGCTCTATTGTTGCAACTGATTGATATATTCTACATCTGCAGTTACATTTGGGATGTGGACACAGCAATGATCAATCTATCCCTTAAAAAAACCACACACTCCATGTTCTTTCAGGAGTAATAAAATTATAATTGTACATTTAGTTCTTTAAATCTTTCCTGGGTGACTCTTGCTAATTTATCTTCCTGACCTGTAAGTTTGTACAATATTTCTTTATTCTGATAGTTTGATGTAGGACCAAGCAAAGACTCCAGGGTCCACCCAAATTTCACTCTACTAAAAGGTTCTTGCCAAGTGTTATCTTGATTCTATTCCTATCTTAATCCTTCCTAGCTGTGCCCGTGTCTAGCCACTGAGTTGATTTTGCCATTGTTAGCATCCGTACGGAGATTAATTTTTGCTTTAGCGATTTTACCAATGCCTCTGCACCCCAATGACATTTGTTATGTTTAATTTGTAGAACTTCTCTCATTATCAAGGAGCTTAACACTATTTGTCTTTGTGCAGTTACATACCACGATTCGGAATTCTTTTGTGCATTTAGCAAATGTCCCAATTTCTCATCTTCTACTGAATATTTCAGTTTTGGAGGCAAATTAAATTGAGATACATTAGTCTTTAAAGGTATCAATGCCATTGTTGTTTGCACTTCTTGAGCAATCTGTCGGGTTGTCCAGTCTGCTTTTCGATTTCCCTTTACTTAATTCTAGTGTTCTGGTTAAGGCAATCAGTTCTGCCCTCTGGGCAGATGTATTTGGTGATAATGCTTTTGCCTCCATTATTGTACTGACTGTTGTTACCACACATCCAGCGTATCTGGTCCCATTCTCCACCAAGCTGCTTCCATCTGTGAATAGCTCCTACTCTGGTTGCTCTAGTGCGATGTCTTTCAGGTCTTCTCTTGCCGAAAAGGTGTACTCTATTACTTCTACACAGTCATGCTCTAATGGGCCTTCTTCAGTTGTGGTACCTAGGAACAAAGCTAGATTCAAGAGGTTAGTTGTCTTTAGTGTGACATCATCCTGCCCAGTCAGGATTATCTGGAATTTTATCATCTTGCTTGGAGATAGCCAATGGCCCCCCTTTTGTTCTAAAACAGTGATTACCATATGTGGCATGTAGACATTTATGTGTCTACTCATCATGAGTTTTCTAGCTTCTTGTAACAGCATCACGGTGGCTGTTCAACTGCCCGCAGGCATGAAGGCCATCCGGCACTCACATTGTTTGGAAAAGCAGCCCACCGGCCTTTTCCAGCTTCCCAAACGTTGGGTCAGCACTCCCAGTGGTAGACGTAGTCTTCCACGCACAAACAGGTGAAAATCCTTGGATGAATCAGGCAGTCTTAACGCTGGAGAAGTTATCAATGCCTCCTTTAGTTTGAGGAAGGCCTCCTTCTGTGGTTTGCCCCAGGTAAATGGCTGCGTTGTCTGGGCTTCATGCAGGGGCTTTGCGATTAGTCCATAGTCCATGATCCACAGCACCACTCTGTCATCTCAAGGAAAACTTGTAGCTCATGTAGGTTGTGGAGTTCTGGAATGGCACAAATAACTTGAGTACGGTTAGTACCCAGCTTACGTTGCCCTTGTGAGATTTCACATCCCAGGTAAATCACAGTTTGTTGGGTAATTTGTGCCTTTTCTTTAACACTTTTTTCTATAACACCTTATATCTTCCCATTGCCAGCTGATTTAAGATTTCAATTGTTACCTTTATGCAGGTTGTTTTCTCTTCTGTAGCTCTCAGTGTATCATCAACATACTGTAACAGCAGGTATTGTTCTCTCAGTACTTGCCCATTCTCGGTCCAAATCTCCAGCTCCTTCGCCTGCTTACTTCCAAATAGCGTTGGACTGTTCTTGTATCTTTGTGGGAGTACTGATCCAGAGATAACTACAAAAGGGCAGAAAGTAATGCCACTGCAAATAATTCCAAAGCCAAAAAGGACCCAAGAACAAGAAATTAGGTCAATGATAACTAAGGTTTGTAAAGACAATTATTAACAAAAATTAAAAGAGGAGGGACTGAGAGGAATGATGAGCTTGTCTTTACAAACAAGCTGTGGGTCAGTTGAGAAGATGTAGCTATCAGTGAGAGACGACAGAAATAATGGGATGGATTCCAGTAGAAGATCAAACAGGCACTGAAAGAACATTATGAATTCCATAAAAGTTAAGAAGGGATTATGCATTGGGGGTGGGGGGGGGAAGGTACCCCAGGTGTCAGGCGTTCCGGGCAGTCTGTACCTGTCAAGTCCCTCAGCCTATGGGGAAAGGGAGAAGGGACAAGCGGCCGGGAATTAGGATAAAAAGGAGGCTGCGCCCTCCAAAAATTTGAGAGACCCCAGGGGAATGCCCCATGGCCTCTCCCTTTATTCGAATAAAGTAAAAGGACTCCTCTGTCTCCTTTTTGGACATAAACCTCTGGTGTTCGTGGATTAATTTTCCTGACATGTGCAAGTATTACTAAGTGACACCCGAGAACGGATGGCAGGTGCCTGGCCAGCACCCATCGCCCGAGCTCTGAGAGACGAGCCAACATCAGTTAAATAAGAGGTGAGTCACAAACCAGTCTATCATAGGTCAGAACTGTTCAAGCCCAGACAAAAAGCTGTAGAAGCAACTAAAATTCTTACTGAAAGCCAGCCAAAGTAATTTGCCTAAACGAGAGCTAAAAACCCTCCTAACCTGGACCCTAGTTAATTTC